AAACCATTGGACAAGGAGGGCATCCAGGAGGATTCCCAAATCACGATTAGACATCTCCCTTCGTCCGCAGGAGAGCCATCAATTGTTTGGAGCGCCCTTCAGACCCTGTGCGGCAACAGAATAAATCAAATAATTTTATTAAGGATCAGGTATATATCCCTCCAATGGTCATCATTTGCGCAAGCAATGGCCCACAGGGTGAGGTGTTGGCTCATCGGCTATTGGATTATACATTCCTCAATGGCGGCAATACCTAATTCCTGAATAATATGAAATAATTTATCAATTATGGACATCAACTATATTTGCACATTTCACCTCTTCCATGTGGAACCGCTGAAATTAATATATCCAATATTTTTTTATGAATGATTCAGGTATTTTAGCGGACCTAATCATGGATAAATGTTTCTGTTCATTTCATATAATTTGGTTTGGATAGCCTGCGAGGCACCAGGGAGACAAGAAAGGACTACTTGGACAGCCTGCGAAGCACCAGGGAGTTGTATTTCCCCAAAGAATTATTTCGTCATTAATATCGGTAAATCCCGTGATCAAATGCAGTCATAATTCAATATCCCACCGTATATTCTGGAATATATAAAGGTAATCTTTTAAATATTAACGAAAAAATAAATTTCCGATAATCATTTAATAATTAAATATTATCAATGATTAAAAAATATTCTTAATAATAATCTATATTAGACATTAATTTAAAATATAAATTCAATATAAATTATACGATATTAAATCCAATAAAAAAAATAAAAATATTAAGGCAATCAAAAATTAAAAGCAAATTTTCAATTCTAAGAAAAATCAATCAAAATATCGGTCTTAATAAATATCAAATATAATCAAAATATCATTCTTAATAAATCTATTATATATTCAATAATAAATCGAAATTATTCCTTTACAAAAAAAATCGTTCGAAATATTCTAAAAAAATTATATATCTATATTTTATTCAATATAAATCAATTCGTAATTAATTAAATATAGAATATTTTTTTATAATAATTCTTTTAGAATTTCTATTCATTAATTATTAATATCTATTTTTAATTATATATTATTATTATTTAATATATATCTTTTTATCATTTATAGTTATATCTTAATCTTTATTTATATTATATATTATAATTCTTTATATTAATAAAAATAATTAAATATATATTATATTAACTATTATATTAATTAATTATTATTAAATTAATATAAAATATAAAATTAATTATATATATAAATTAAAAAATTAAATAAATCATTTTAATATATATATATATTAAATCTAAATTAATTTAGATATATATTTTTAAAAAAAATCAATCCTTTTAAAGAATATCAATAAGTATATTTAAGTAATAGAAATTAATGTGTATAAGAATTTTATAAAATATATATAATTAAATTCCTACGTCGTTTATTTTTCTTACGTTCCTGTTTACGTTTTTCTTATGCGACCAATGTGAGCTTACGCGCCACGGATGTTGGAGACCTTACGTAAATCTTACGCATCTGTATTTTCACAGATAATAACCATACTCCCAAAGGAAATGCTTACACGAAGGCATGAAAATAACACCATATGGCAAGCTTACGCAACATGTATGTCTCACAACTCCCCTTACGCAAGCTTACGTTTTTCAGGTGTTTGCTTACGTCCAAATTCCATATGACAAGGCCTTTACTTAGTTCATCTTGGGAGGTTTCTTGCGGCGCGCATAATGGAACTAATCAGCACAGTATAATTTGACATAGTTTGTATCTTTATTTCTTCATTCATTTGTCAAGTTCAAGTGTAAATCGAGGGAGTCTTGCCAACGTGTGGCCTGTTTGTCATCTTCTACAAGGCCTCTCCATCTAGGTCCAGGAATTGCTCAAAGGAAAGCGAGCACTGCTGTGTAGATCCACAGCAGAGTAATCAGG